AAGCTACTGACAAGTTTCATTTACTATTTAAAAAAAAAAAAAAAATTTTTTTTTTTTTTTTGACAGGCAGAGTGGACAGTGAAAGAGACAGAGAGAAAGGTCTTCCTTTGCCGTTGGTTCACCCTCCAATGGCCGCTGCGGCTGGCGCATCGCGCTGATCCGAAGCCAGGAGCCAGGTGCTTCTCCTGGTCTCCCATGTGGGTGCAGGGCCCAAGCACTTGAGCCATCCTCCACTGCACTCCCGGGCCACAGCAGAGAGCTGGCCAGGAAGAGGGGCAACCGGGACAGAATTCAGCGCCCCAACCGGGACTAGAACCTGGTTTGCTGGCGCCACAGGCAGAGGATTAGCCTATTGGGCCAAGGCGCCGGCCAATTTACTATTTTTTTAAGCAGCTTTAAGTTGACAGATAGTACTTGACAGACAATATGTATGGGGTGCTCATCAATGAATGGATAAAGAAAATGTGGTATCCACATAATGGAATATTATTCAGACAATATAGCAGCATTCGTGAAAGGATGGAACTAGAGGGCATTATATTAATTGAAATAAGCCAGACCTCGAAAGACAAATACCACACATTCTCACGTGTCTGTGGGAATTAAAACTTGAGAGAGTATGGGGCTGGCGTGTGGGGCAGTGGGTTGAGGCCCTGGCCTGAAGCGCCCTGGCATCCTCTATGGGTACTGGTTCTAGTCCCGGCTGCTCCTCTTCCGGTCCAGCTCTCCGCTGTGGCCTGGAAGAGCAGTAGAAAATGGCCCAAGTCCTTGGGTCCCTGCACCTGTGTGGGAGACTTGGAAGAAACTCCTAGCTCCAGATTGGTGCAGCTCCGGCCATGCGGCCATCTGGGGAGTGAACCAGTGGATGGAAGACCTCTCTCTCTCTCTCTACACCTCTCTCTGTAACTCTGTCTTTCAAATAAATAAAATAAATAATAATTTAAAAAAATTTGAGCGAGTAGAACAGCGGTGACCCGAGGCTGGGAGGGTTGGCGTGGAGGGAAGAGGGAGTGAGGTCACGGAACAGGTGAGTTCTGAGGGTCTCCAGCACGGTCGGGCTGAGTATAGTTTACTGCTTCCATCAGTTTCCAAGCAGCCAGAGGAGAGGATGCCGGGTGTTTCCAGCACGAAGCTCTGATCAGTGCCCGGGGTAATGGAAATCCTGATTGCCGGATCTGATCCTTCTCGTGGCACACGTGTGTAGCACCCCGATTGCCGGATCTGATCCTTCTCGTGGCACACGTGTGTAGCACCCTGGTTGCCGGATCTGATCCTTCTCGTGGCACACGTGTGTAGCACCCCAATTGCCGGATCTGATCCTTCTCGTGGCACACGTGTGTAGCACCCCGATTGCCGGATCTGATCCTTGTCGTGGCACACGTGTGTAGCACCCCGTCGCCCGCAGCTGTGTGCGGGGACTTCAGTTCACACTTTGCAGAGAGCGCCTTGAGGCGGCGGTGAGAGCTGAGCAGAGCGGGAGGCGCCTGTGTGGAGCCAGGGATTCCCTGGCCTCCTTCCCGGGCTTCCCTCGACTCTTAATTCCTGTTGGTCCTAAAGGTGCAGCCGTGGCGCGGCCCCTGCAGAGGGTGCGGCAGACCCCGTGGCAGGAGGACCTCAGAGTGGGAGGCGCCTGCGTGGTTCACGTGCCTCCCCGTTCTGCCTTCCTGGTGGGGCTTTTGTATTTCCCTCCACGTTTGTGTCCTCTCATGGGGACCGTGTCTTGAGGGCTGTCATTTTGAGATGAACTGGTCTTGAGACACTGAGGAAAAATATTAGCTTCCCTTGGCTGGGCTTTAAACACCAGAAGCGGGAGGGACTCATGGCCAGAGGCTGGAGATGAGGGGTGACCACGGAGGGCTGGGGGAAAAGCCACGCGCAGGGGCTCCGCTGGGGAGGAAACCTGGACCCTCAGAACCGCCTGGGCGGCAGGTGCCGACCTCTGCATTTGGGCAAGTTCTAGGGCTCTCACAGTCCACTGTCTTGTGAGTCAGGATGGTGTGTGTCCTGCTCGCCCCACGGAGCTGTCACCAGGGGCTGATGGGATGAGAATGGGACGCACAGGTGTGAGGGGCAGCATTAGGGGAACACAGGCATTTGTGGACCTGATTAATCCGCGTTCCCCTTCCCTGCCCCAGCAGCCGCCTGGAGAACTGTCTAGTGCACACACTGCAGACATTCCTGTGGGCTGCTTTTGGGAGGTTGCTGGCTGAGGTCCCCTGGGCCAGAGTTCAGGGAGTTCGTCTGAGAGCCATTGCCAGAGCTGGGGAGAGACAGCAGACGACTGCACACACTCCCGTCCCATGTGCGCACACATGCACACACGGGTGAGCAAGGCACAGATACAGTCCCTGGGGATTCACAGTGTCTGTGCGTAAGGTAGGCGTGCACACAAATGACGGAGGCTGTGAACACTGCTTTAGTGGAGTCGTTGTGCAAATACTGAGAAGGTGAAGTAGATGCCTGCAAGGCGTGCGGAGACCTCAGAGTCAGGGGTGTGGGTGGGGTCTGGAGGTGGTCCCCGGGCTGAGGTCAATCCAGGCAGGACCGTGGGAACCGCCGCCTGAGCTGAGGTTGGTGGGTCTGCCCAGCAGCGTGGAATCCTTTCTTTGTTTTGTGCCATGTTTAGCCACTGACAGAGCTGGTCCGAGGCCTGGGGACTGGTGTTGGTGAAACAGAGGGGTGGGTCCCTGTCCTGCCTCACACTGTGTCTTGCCTGAGGTCAGCGTTTAAATATTTACTGAACTGACATGGTTATCTGAGTCCCCAGGAGGTGCGGTCCCCTCTGAGGTCGTTTGGGGTGTGGATGCTGCATGCCCCGGCGCCTCCGTGCAGCCAGAGAGCAGGCAGGGTGGCGTTGCTGCCCAATTCATGTCCCCTTGTCCCTGCTGACCAGCTCCCGGCCTGCCCTGGGCTCAGACCCATAGCTGAGTGGTTGTGGGGTGGCGAGTCCAGACATGAAAGTGATAACCTGTCAGAAATCACAGAAAAGTCTTTTTGAAACATCGCTGAAGTACGTGCTTCACTGATTTCTGGTCGGTAGAAACGGGAGACGAAGGTGCCTTTTCTGTGCGCCTCCTGCCACCCACCCATGGGCGACATCGCCTTTGACCCTGAGATGGGCTTCCCCCTGCCTCCCATCCCTCTTCTCAAATGTGCCATGGCCAGCTGGGGTGGATGTGACTGCTGGGTTGACCTCTCACTTCCTGTATGTTTTCTGGGTGTGTTTGTGTGGGGGGTGGGGACTGGTCACCTCCAACCTGCAGAGCTCCAGGAAGAGGGGACCCCAGCACCTCACTTCCATGCCTGTGATCTGTGACTGCGGGGTCGCCACAGTGGGGTCGCCACAGCCCTCTCCGGGGTGGCACATCGCGTTCTTCCTTGGGCTTGGTCTCCACTGATTCCAGAAACACTCAGAGACCGTCCCACCTACCGTTAGCACTCTGTTCCACAGTCAAACCTTCAGACGCATAGGGTGCTGTAAGCCTGGGCCTTTTAAATTTCACACTCTCTTTCTGGATCTTGTAAGGAGCCTAATTTATTCAAGTGATTTTCCAGTTAAGGCCTACAAGAAAATTCTTCTTTCCTGGTATTCACCCCACACCCACTTCCTGTCTTTATTTATTTATTTATTTATTTATGGGGGTGGGGAGGGAAGGAGGCGGAGGAGGAGAGGGAAAGCTTCTATCCATTGGTTTACTCCTCACATGTCTGGCTTCTATGGCTAGTCTTGGCCTGGGCAGAGACTGTCACCAGGAGCTAGGAACTCAGTGCAGGTCTCCCAGGTGGGGGCAGGAACCTAACGACCGGAGTCACTGCCCGTGGCCTCCGAGGTCTGCATTGGCAGGAAGCTGGGTTCAGGAGCTGGGCTGGCTGTGGAACCCAGGCGCTCTGATGTGGGAAGTGGACATCTTAACTGCAGGCCAAATGCCGGGCACGACTGCTTTCCAAGAGCTTTTTCAACATTTTGGAATATTTTAATCATTTACCAAAGAGGAGAGGATTGTATAATGAGCCTTCAGCCACCAGCTTCGGCAGTTATAAACTCCTGAGCACCTGTACCCTCCACGTCCTCACCTACCCAGCCTTAGTTATTTTGAACCAAATGACAGGCGTCATTTCATCCATAAACATTTTAGTATATTTCTAAAAGATGAAGGCTTTGTAAAGTCCTAATGTTTCCACTGTCTCACCTAAGATTCTTTAATCTCAATATTCATTGGTCAGTATTCAAATTTCCCTGAGTCTTTTTCTTTTCACACGTTAATGCAATTGGCTGATGGATCTCCTGAGTTTCTCTGCATCTGTAGGCGCTCCTTCTCTCCCCCGCTGTTTTTCTTTCCTCACAATCTGTTGACGCGGAGTCTCGAGTTTCACGTGCTGAGGATTTTGCAGGCCGCGTCCTTCCACACCTTCCTCATTCCTCTGTGTGTCCCACAGAGGGGTGTTGTGTCTAGAGGCGCGTTCAGGATTTGGTCTGGAGTTTGGCAAACGTTGCTTTGTAGCGGTGGCCGCAAGCTTCCTTCAGGAGGCTCATAGTTCGTGGTTGTCTCTCTGTGCTGGTTGGTGAGCTTTAACACATGTGCTAACTATGCAAGACGCTCAGGCCCCTGCATGTCTTCCTGTGCCGGGGCTGTGGTCTTCAGAGAGTAGGGTGAGCTCCCAGAGTTCCTTCTCTATGGCTGGCTGACGAAGATGAGGCTGTTAGGTTCTCTGTCCGCGAGCTGTTTGGCCGGGTTGGTTTCTCCAGCACTTCCTGGAGGATGAAGTGACATGAACTAGACCTAGAGCATAGCCATTCTGTGTTTCTATTGGTTGTAAAAGACCTGTCCCACTCAAGAACCATTGTGTACGGAGAGGCCTGGATGTTTTGAAAGTGTTTGTGTGTGTGTGTGTGTGTGTGTTTTGGAAGTGTTTCTTGGTTTGGCTGAACCGGCTGCTTGTGCTGATACTCCGGTGTGTGTTTCCGTTGAATTTGTAAGGCAATTCTTTCTCTCTTTTAGGATCTCATTCTGCCTAACGGTGGCACTCCAGCAGGCACCTCGAGCCCGGCGTCTTCGTCTTCCCTTCTCAACAGACTTCAGCTCGATGATGACATTGACGGTGAGACCAGGGATCTCTTTGTCACAGTCGATGACCCCAAGAAGCATGTCTGCACGATGGAGACCTACATCACGTATAGGATCACCACCAAGGTAGACGCCTCCTCTATCTTCTGATGTGTTGAATGATCTTGGAGATTCAGGCTTCTGTCTCCAAGGCTCCTGCCTTTGCTTTCTTGCCCACTTTTCTTCAATTTATTATAATGTGGGTATGGTTTTTGGAGATAGTGGAAGAATTCAAATTAAAAGGATTATATATAGCATTTTTTAAAAATTATTTATTTGAAAAGCAGAGTAAAACACACAACCATGTACAAACACAGAGAGGAGGAGAGAGAGAGATCGATCTTCCATCTGCCAGTTCACTCCCCAAATGGCTGCAAGAGCAGGGGCTAGGCCAGGCCTCATCGAGGAGCCCAGAACTCTTCCCAGGTCTTCCAATGTGAGTGACAGGGGCCCAGGCACTTGAATCATCTTTTGTTGCTTTCCCAGGCACATTACCAGAGAGTTGGATCAGAAGCAGAGTAGTGGGACCAGTATTGTGGCACAGTGGGTTAAGCTGCCACCTGCTATACAGGCATCCTCTGTGGGCACCAGATTAAATCCCAGCTGCTCTTTCAATCCAGCTCCCTGCTGATGTGCCTGGGAAAGCTGAAGAAGATGGCCCAAGTGCTTGGGCCCCTGCCATGCACGGGAGAACAGATTGAGGCTCCTGGCTCCTGGCTTTGGCCTGGCCCACTCCCAGCCATTGTGGCATTTGGGGAGTGAACCTGGGGATGGAACAATCTCTCTGTCTCTATAAATCACCCTTTCAAATAAAACAAAAAAACCACAGGGGAGTAGCTAGGGCTCAAACCAGCACTCCAGTATGGGATGCCAGTGTCACAAGTGGTGGCTTAACCCACAGCACCACAACACAAGCCTCATAGTAATTTTTTAAAAAGATTTATTTATTTATTTGAAAATCAGAGAGAGAGAGAATTTAAATCTTAAAATGAGGGAGAAAGTATGACTTAAGACTTCTAAAAATATTTTCCCTTCTTAAAAGATTTATTATTTATTTACTTGAGAGGCAGAGTTATAGAGAGAGAGGTCTCTTCATCTTCTGGTTTGCTCACCAGATGGCCTCAATGGCCAAAGCTGGGCTGGCACAGTGGTGCAGCGGGTTAAAGCCCTGGCCTGAAGCACTGGCATCCCTTATGAGCGCCAGTTCTAGTCCTGGCTGCTCCTCTTCCGATCCAGCTCTCTACTGTGGCCTGGGAAAGCAGTAGAAGATGGCACAAGTCCTTTGGCCCCTGCACCCACGTGGGAGACCCGGAAGAAGCTCCTGGCTCTTGGCTTTGGATTGGCATACCTCCGGCCCTTGCGGCCATCTGGGCAGTGAACCAGCAGATGGAAGACCTCTCTCTGTAACTCTGTCTTTAAAATAAATAAAATAAATCTTTAAAACAAAAAGGAGTGGAGCAGCTGGGATTTGAATCAATGCCCGTAGTAGGTGCTGGCACTGAGGCGGTTGTGTAACCTACTACGCCACAGTGTCAGCCCCCACATTTTATTTCTTTATTTTAGGGCTAGAGAGAGGGAGAGAGAGACAGACAGACGGCCAACCCTTGGGCAGAGCTAATGCTGGGAGCCAGGAACTCTATCCAGGTCTCCTGCGTGGGTTGCAGGTACCCAAATACTTGAGCCATCACCCCTGCCTCCCAGGGCATTGTCAGAAAGCTGGAATTGGAAGCTGGGTGTTGAACCCACTCTGATGTGGGTTGTAGGCATCCTAACCAGCGTCTAAACTGCCAGGTCAGACAGCTGCCCCTTATTTCAAAATTACAGGTTGATTGTTTAAAATAGTACTAAATTCTGGCCCTGGAGCAGGGTTTCTCAGCCTTGGCAGCACTGACACTTTGGACTGAGTAACCCTTTGCTGTGGGCCGGCCCTTGGCAGGATGTTGAGTGGCATCTGTGGCTTTGCCCACTCCTTGGTAGTAGCACCACACCCAGCTCCTGGTTGTGACAACCCAAGCCATCTGTAGACCTTGTAGGGTATTCGTTGGGATACAAAAGTGCCCCTGGTCAAAAACCACTGACCTAGGTTCTCTACACTAGCAGGGAGAAAAATCACTTCTCATTTTATGTTTCTGAATTTAAAAATGTGCTTTAGTCAGAAAAACCACCCTATTTCTTGGACTCTCTCCCTACTACAGACCTCAGGGACGTACAGACCTTTCCAGAAGTTTTAAACAGATGAAGGTGCCTTTGTGGATGATGTTAAGAGAGCCTCTTCTTGTTTTCTTTGTTGAAAAAAGTTTTTTTTTTTTTTTTTAAATCATTAGAGTTCACTAGGTCTTGTACTCATTTAAATTCCTTGGATGGGCAGGTGTTGTGGTATAGTGGGTGCTGGCATTCCATATTGGAGTGCTAATTTGAGTTTCAGCTACTCCCACTTCTGATCCCACTTCCTGCCAGTGCATCCTGGGAGGCAACAGATGATGGGTCAAATGGTTGGGCCCCTGCTGCCCATGTGGGAGACCCAGGTAGGGTTCCAGATTCTGGCTTTGACCTATCCAGCCCTGGCTGTTGTGGGCATTTGGAGTGAACCAGCAATGCAAGATTTCTCCCACTCTCTCTGTTGTTCTGCCTTTTTAGTAGGTGAAAAGAAACATTAAAGAAAAAATTCCTTGGAAAGAAAAGCAGAGAGTAAAATACACTCACATTTTGTCTCTTCATCTTTGATTTAAGTAAAATGTTGTGTTTTAAAAATGATACATATGGGGCCGGTGCTGTGGGGTAGCGGGTGAAGCCGCTGCCTGCAGTGCCAGCATCCCATGTGGGTGCCAGTTTGAGTCCCGACTGCCCCATTTCCGATCCAGCTCTCTGCTATGGCCTGGGAAAGCAGTAAAAGATGGTCCAAGTCCTTGGGCCCCTGTACCTGCATGGGAGACTTGGAAGAAGCTCCTGGCTTCTGGCTTCGGATTGGCTCAGCTCAGCTCTGGCCATTGTGGCTATCTGGGCAGTGAACCAGCAGATGGAGGACCTCTCTCTCTGTCTCTACCTCTCTCTGTAACTCTGTCATTCAAATAAATAAAATAAATCTTTTTAAAAAAATTATACATGTGACCGGTGCTGCGGCTCACTAGGCTAATCCTCCGCCTTGCGGTGCCGGCACACTGGGTTCTAGTCCCAGTCGGGGTGCCGGATTCTGTCCCGGTTGCCCCTCTTCCAGGACAGCTCTCTGCTATGGCCCGGGAGTGCAGTGGAGAATGGCCCAAATGCTTGGGTCCTTGCACCCACATGGGAGACCAGGAAAAGCACCTGGTTCCTGGCTTCGGATCAGCGCGATGCGCTGGCCTCAGCGGCCATTGGAGGGTGAACCAACGGCAAAGGAAGACCTTTCTCTCTGTCTCTCTCTCTCACTGTCCACTCTGCCTGTCAAAAAAAAAAAAAAAAATTATACATGTGGGCTGGCGCCGCGGCTCACTAGGCTAATCTCCGCCTGTGGCGCCGTCACCCGGGGTTCTAGTCCCGGTTGGGGAGCTGGATTCTGTCCTGGTTGCTCCTCTTCCAGTCTAGCTCTCTGCTGTGGCCTGGCAGGGCAGTGGAGGATGGCCCAAGTGCTTGGGCCCTGCACCCGCATGGGAGACCAGGAGGAAGCACCTAGCTCCTGGCTTGGATCAGCGCAGCGCGCCAGCCGCAACACAATGGCTGTAGTGGCCACTTGGGGGATAAACCAACGGAAAAGGAACACCTTTCTCTCTGTCTGTCTCTCTCACTAACTCTGCCTGTCAAAAAAAAAATTATACATGTGTAGCGGTATTCATTTTGTCCAGTGGTTAGACGCTGCTTTGGGCTCCTGCGTCCCATATTGGAAAGCTTGAGTTTGAGTCTCAGTGGCAGCTTCCTGCTGATGCACGCTCTCGGAAGTAGCAGGTGATAGCTCAAGTTGTTGGATCCCTGCCCCAGCGTGGGAAACCTGGGTTGAGCTCCTGGCTCCTGGCCTCAACCCCCGGCACACGGCCATTGTGGGCATTTAGGAAGTAAGCCAGTGGATGTTGTAGCTCTGTCTCTTTAAAATTAAATAAATAATAAAATTAAAAGCTGGTTTTCAAAAAAGTAAAATAAAATGCAACGACATAGGTAATATACATGTATTATTGTAAAACAATAAATAAGACAGTATTAAATCCCAAATAGGGGTTGGCGCTGTGGTGTAGTGTGTAAAGCTGCCTCCTGCAGTGTCAGCAACCCATATGGATGCCGGTTTCAGTCCTGGCTGCTCCACTTCCTGTCCAGCTCTCTGCTATGACCTGGGAAAGCAGTGGAAGATGGCCCAAGTCCTTGGGCCCCTGCACCCATGTGGGAGACACAGAGGAAGACCCCTGGTTTCAGATCGCCGCAGCTCCAGCCATTGCAGCCAGTTGGGGAGTGAACCAGCAGATGGAAGACCTCTCTCTCTCTCTCTCTCTGCCTAACTTTGACTTTCAAATAAATAAATAAATCTTAAAAAAAAAAGCTCAAATTCACAGTAGAAAACTGAGCTGTCTTCCTTAGCCCTTCTTACCAAGATTATTCTAACACCAAGCAACTGTTGCTAAAATTTGTCCTATGTCTTCCCATTCATTTTCTTCACACACACGCACACACACACACACACATACACACACACACAGTTAGAATATATATTATTTAGATTTTGGTGTAAATTGCTTTCTAAGCTTTACTTCTATTTTACAATTTTTGAAGACTCGTCCATGTTTATGTGACTGTAGCTTCTTTCTTCTTCTTCTTTTTAAAAGATTTATTTATTTGTTTGAAAGGCAGAGTTACAGAGAGGTAGAGACAGAGAGAGAGAGAGGGAGGTCTTCTATCTGCTGATACACTCCCCAGATGGCCACAGTGACTGGAGCTGTGCCGATCCAAAGCCAGGAGCCAGGAGCTTCTTCTGGGTCTCCTTCGTGGGTGCAGGGGCCCAAGGGCTTGGGCCATCTTCCACTGCTTTCCCAGGCCACAGCAGAGAGCAGGATTGGAAGTGAAGCAGCTGGGACTTGAACTGGCGCCCACATGGGATGCCGGCACCCACAATGCCACAGCACCTGCCT